ATTATATATTCTGATACAGTACCATATTTACTCTTCATTCCTAATGAGAGATACTAATGTAAATGTAATAGTAGTAGTGGTTTTAGCAAGAGGCTGCGGCACCCCCGACCCCCTTGCTTGTCTTGGGACCAAGTTTTAAGCCGTGCAATCCTTGCTTCAAAGATCCTATGAATCCTTTCCAAATCCCTCCATGCGAGCTTGCAATAGAGGAGGCGACTTGTTTTAAGACCTAGTTCTAAGCTGCACAAGGATTGCTTCAAAAGCATGTGAATCCTTCGTTCCAAACCCCATCATGCGAGCAGGGTGTTTGCAAAAGGGTGGGGCTGCGCTCCCCCCCAACCCCCGCACTTGTTTGAGGACCGAATTCTTTGCAGTGCTTGCCATAAAAATCACATGAATCCTTTCCAACCCCAGCAAATGGGGGGGGTTTGCGTCCACTGCAATCCCCCCGCTTGTTTAGGACCCAGTTTTCGGCCGTGCCATGCTTGCTACAAAGCATATGAACCCTTTCCAAGTCGTCATGCGTGCATTAGTGGGCTGCGCCCGCACCCCCCCCCCAACCCCCACTTGATTTGGGGCTTAGTTTTAAGCGTGCAATGCTTGCATCTGCGCCCACCCAACCCCCTTGAAACGGGCAGGTTTAGGTAGAAATGCTGGAATTTGCAGCATTTGGTGCCGTGGAACAGTTAGAAATGCTGCAACTAAGGGCATTTGAGCCCTGGAACACGCAGATTTGCCACATCTTTTTCAGCAGTTTGAGTTTGCAAACGGCCAGAAGTGCTGCATGTCTCAGCATTTAGAGGGCGCGAATCGCCAGAAATGCTGCATTTCATAGACTGTTTACTAGTTTTTTGATGTCCATCATTTTATTTATTGATGTGGCCTGGGGAAAATATTTTGATGTCTATCCTTTTCCATGTCGAGGGCATTTTTTTTGTGTCGGAAAACGAGAACGGGATCGACGCATATCGACGCCTGGAAGCTGTTCTGTTTAGCGATTGTAGGAGCTGGAAAACGTTCTTCTTGAGTACCTCAGAAAGATCAGAAAGTCCTCGAGCGTGCGAGACCACGCAACTACCTGGAGTCGAAAATCATCCCTGAGCATCCATTGTTGATTGCATTGAATACCTGGATTAGTTTTTTTTGTTTCTTTCCGTGACGCCCAGAATCTGTAAATGTCAACATGCTCTCAATATTGATTCTCATGTTGATTTGCATATTGGTTCACAATTTGGGTTGAGCATTTGATTTCCATAGTGATTTGCTTGTATATCTGGACTTTGATTGTCATCACCCTGGGCTAATGATGCCGAAAGGGGAGGGGGGTGGTTCCATTTCGGCAATTTCGTTTCGGCAATAACGGGTTTCGAAACCCTATCCTTCATGGCGCCGAAAACAAATGCCGAACATATTGCCGAAAATGGCCTCGGCTGATATCCATGCGTTATGTAGCCTAAGCTTCTGTTCTCACAAGTGCATCAGTTACCCGTCTCGCCTCGCTGTAATTGTGCATTCAGGCTGGTGTTGGGGTGGGTGGTGGACAGCCATTAAATGCCGAAAAACCTTTCCCGCCCCCGTGCGCACACGTGCAGGCTGGGGCAGGGCGGGGGGTCCTGTGCCCGGCTCGGCTGTTCTTGCCCTCGATAGTAGTCTGCGAGGCTGCAACGTCTCGGTTTTGAGTATGGCTACATAGTAGGGAACATCCCAGAATGTCTTCCAGGTGCTCCCGCTGCCCCTGGTAAAATGCCGAAATGCCTTTCCGACCCCTGCGTGTGCGCGTCTAGCATGGAGTCGGGGCGGGGGTCCGGTGCCCGGTTCGGCAGTTCTTGCCCTTTGTATTATTCTGCGCAGCTGCAATGTCTAGGCTTCAACCTGTCTGGCTTTATAGCATCCCGGCAGTTTCAGAACATCCCAGAACAGTTTGCAGTGCCCCCATTGCCCTTGTAAAATGCCGAAAACCGTTTCCAACCTGCGTGTGCGTGCGGGCAGGCTGGGGTCGGAGGGGGGGTCCGGTTCCCGGTTCGGCTTTTCTTGCCCTGTACAAGATTCCATGAAGCTGCAACGGCTCTCCTCTAGGTAAGTGCCGCCCATTTGGTGTCACGCAGCCCCGGGCAGCCTCCTGCACTGCTTTCGGCAAGTACTTACAGGCCACGAGGAGAGCATGGCCACGGTGCGACAAAAACAGCTGCTGCCCTCCTTTTGCGAGCGTGTGGCAGGGCAGTCAACAGCAGTGTAGTGCTGAACCCCCCCCCCCCCCGCCCTCCCCCCCAGTAGCCGGGACCTGGCAAAGGGATACTTGCAACACAGCCTCAAAGGGGGTCGAGAAATGCCTTCGGCATTTGTTTGCCCCCCCCGCCCTTAATCCTGATTGTCCTTTGTAAACTTTTATGCTATATGCATAGAAGGTTGACAGGATTCTAAGGTTTAGGGGTGTACGGTCCAGCGCCCTGTGATAGACAGGGTGCAGCGCCCAATGGCTTCCGACCTGTGTTCACTTCCTTAAATGTTCCAAAAAAATGTTCTTATTCAGCTGTCCGTTTGTCATGAGCAATGCGTTTTGGCTTGCAAAACGACAAGGAGGAGAACGAAGAAGATCAATGAAGCTTCATGATAACAGCATCCAGTTGGCTCACGGGAAGTCCTGTACAAAGCACTGAAATGTGACCTGTGTATTTCTGCATGGTGTGCCTGTTCAGTGATGGCCTGGACGACATGTCTCATGCCCATCAGTTGTCTTTGCGTATATATAAAATTTTTTATTTCAAGCTTCGCCGGCCAAGCTGTAGCCTTTGTTTAATGTGGCTGGTCACTTGATTTGCGCGTTTGTGGGAGGCCGTGGGTGTTTTTGCCACATGTCCTCTTTCACCTGCATTTCGGATGGAGGGGCTGGTTCCGTTCTTTCTCATCTACCCTCGCCCTGTCGAGGTTTTGGTCTTGGGGGTGGTGGGAGGGGGTGGGGGAGCTCGGCGTGTTACTCCCACCATGCCCGATGCAAATGGATGTTTGACGTTGCCTCTTAAGCTCCAGGACTCCGCCGCCAACTGGAAAGGCTGTGCCTCAGCTCGGGTCAGTGTGTTCTCGGTTGACGAGTGTTCTGCAAGGTCGCCTGCCGAAGACACCAGGCCGGTTTGCGTAACATGAAGCTTCCTGCAGTTCGGCAGTGGCTCTGGCAGGCTCGCTTTTCAGAGAAGCTTGGAAGAACAGCAGCGGCCCAAGGCAATTCAAAAATCTAGCGTGCGGGGAACTTCTGTGGGGAAAGCACTGGGGTTATGGCTGGGCGGATGTCGGCAAGATTGCCTTACTGCAATATGCACTGTGCAGAAGCCATCGCAGAAGTGGCATTTTGTCGTGCAGTCCACCAAATTTGCTTTCAGAGCCAGGCTCAGCTCTTGCAAGCAGGAAAGCCTCATGGTGCCAAGTGACAGCAGTACAAACGACATTTCTGGCCTGCGGAACGAAAAGAACTGCTCGAACTCCGACCTGAGCTGTCCATGGAGCGGGGCAAGAACGTTAGTCGGAGCTACAACCCCTCACTAGGCGAGCAGGAATCAGGGCAGTGCCAGCTACCGTAAAGAAGCACTGGACAGAGGCGTTACCGGGATGTAACAAGTGACCACTCAGGTTGGCTCCGCTTCGCAGAGGGCTTGAGCAGGCCGGCAGATGTGCGAGTTAAGGTTTGACTATGTGCAAACCACGAAGTTTATTTGCTGGAGCTGCCGACCTGCCCACCGCAGAAATCAACTGAAGAGATGCGTCTGCTCACCAAGGCACGTTTCTGGGTGAAGTTTGTTAGGTAGCTGTTCGCTGTTAGAGTGTTAGCCGTTAGCCCTGTGGACCGAGTCTTGCAAAGTTGGTTGCAGTCGCAGGTCTTGGAGCAGGGCCGGGACGTCGCAAGCATAGTTCTCTACACAATATCTGTCTAATCTAAGCGCAAGAGGTTGTGACCCTTCACGTACGAGGCCGACACAAGTGCCGCCTTAAAGCAGCGGCTGGAGGTGTATTCAGACATGGGACTGCGCTGGTGTCAGAGCGATAAAGACATTCGGAACGCGATGATTTGGTAGAGGCGCTCGAAAGCAGACTGGACAGAATGGGCATGGACATGCCCATCATGACCATCAGGCATAGCAGGGCGGGCGCGACCTGGGACAGTCCAGCTTCCTGTTGCACATTTGCAAGGCCCCCGCCGGAAAGAGCCTCATACTTCCAAGGTTTGCAGGTCATCCTGGCACGATTTCCTGCCAAGTCATGCATGCCTGCATAGAATCATTGATGTTCACGTCTAACAGCTGCTCGTGCAGTTCTGGCAGTGGCCCAAGGTGCAGCAGACCGGGCGTCGCCTCGCAAACGGATACGAGGAGCATTCCAGAAGCACAAGAAGAACATGTAACACCGACGTCAGTCACCAGTTTGATCCCTGCTGGTTCAAACTGCTTCTCCGTCAGCAGAGTCATGACACCCACAATGTTCAAACGGCTTCTCCATCAACAGAGTCACTACACCCGCAAGTGAGTTGCAATCACTTGGAGTCAATGCTGTGCTAGCAAGCTGCAGTGAGCACAAACTCGAAAGCTCAACGTCAAGACAATTAAGACACTAGTCATGGCCACCGCAATCCAGATGGACGGAAGATCCATGACAAAATTGCAGCCTGCAGCAGAGGCGCAGCAAGATCCTTCTGCTCTTGTAGCCTTGTAGCTCAATGTCACCCGAGTGTCTGTCCAATTAATGGCAAGGAAGCTGACGGTTTGTCGAGCTACCAACAGCATCCCATTCAGAGTTTGGTGGGTATGGGTACGGGACCCCCATTAAGCTCATCCTTAGAGGGTTCGCTGTTTTGCATTCTAGCAAAGCTTCCTCGAGGACGCGCATGTCGAATATATCGGGGTCATCTCCCAAGATGCTGAGATTCAGCTCCAACCATTCTTGAACATTACAGAGCAGACTGCCATCAGCATCGTACACGTTCGTTTTGCAGGTGGCCGGAACGGCACGGCTAAATGCCGGCATCCCGAAACACTTGTTCCCAGGGAACAGTTATCGCGCCAGTTCTTCTTCTTTCGGCTGCAAACTTCGTCGTGCTTCCAAGTAGCATAAGTAGCAGGTATCTGCAGAATCGACATTTTTCAGTTTGTGGATGGTAGTCTTTGGCCACGTTCGGCCCGGCAGGTAGTGGTTGACGGCTGCACCAGCCACGAACAAGCATATGCCATTCAGGAGATGTTCGTCGATTGGCACCTCGCTCTCCGAAAGAGCACTAAACTCCTTATGCATCTTCTGACAGATAGAAGAGTAAGAATTATGTGATAAATGATAAATGCGTGGTGATGTTCCGGTGTTGTGTTGCGAGAGGTTTCCACATGGGCTCAAGTTGAAGTTCAAGATCAAGGCCGGGGCTCAGAAGTTGGAGGTCGCCGTGAACGAGAAGGTGTTGGTTTCAAAGCATTTGTCAAAGCTTTTGGAAGAGGACGTCACGGGGCTTTGGCCGACAGATAAAGCAAAGATCAAGGCTGAGATTCGTGGTTGGCTTGAGGATTCGCCTAAGGAGCTACTCCAAAAGGCGACTTTGCGGGACCCCTCTGTGAGAGAGAAGACAGGAAGCAGCTGGTTTGAGATCATCGGCTCCATCATAGTCATCCTCTCCATCGGTATCGGTATATACACATTGACCTACTTTATGGCAATGGGTCTTAAGTCGGGGCCCAGTGCGGAGACCGAGCCTCTGGTGGACAACTATGAGCTCTGAGGCAGCAGGAGGTTGTACAGAGAGAGAGAGAGTGTGCATGTGAAGTTGAACTGTTTGCACATGTTTGCGCCGTCACGTGGGCCAAAAATGCTTGCCTCGTCTTGCCTGCCTTTCTGTGGAGTTAATTCCGAACAGAGCTGGCTGACAGTTTGGGAAGTTTATTTGTGCGAGGATGAGCCCCACCAGGGCAAACTGCACCTCGTCGATCCCAAGCCAAATGCTCAGCACATCTCAGCAGATTGTGGCAGAATAGTTCTGGAAATAGTTTTGGCAAAGGGGTTTTCTGGCAAGACACCAAGTTCACAGGCTAAAAAAGGCTGCGTATGGCTGCGTGTTCAGTGCGTATTCGCTTTGAGCTTTCCGAGGCCGCTGCTTCGTCGTATTCCCTGAGTGTGGAACGTGTGGAAAGCGTGGGAGCACGATGCGGCAGGACAATACAGTAACAATACATCAGTCTGCCTCCATCTTAACATCTTAAGACCTGTCTGCCTAGATTTCAGACAACGTCAGAGGCTGTCTTACATGTCTTACGTTCGAGGGAGCTTCTTGTAGAGTCTGAGTCGGTGAGCTTTTTGGGAGAGATACCAACACTGCAGGCACCGTTCAAGTGCATACGACATGTTTATGAGGCAATCAGCATTGTCGAGGGTCCCTTGTTTGTAGTAGGAGTGAGTGATAGGATGATGTGGCTGACCGCGGCAGCTCCGGTCATCCGGTGTCCTCCGCTGTTACTCCGCGTTGCTGTCACAGTGATCTTGTGGAAATCTGTGTGTGTGAGTCGTTTTTCTGAAAGTTTAGCGAGGTGCACCTGCCACCACGAGAGTCCGAGATGATTCGTCATGGCCAAGCTAGTTTTCTATTAGGCCCCAGCAAGAACGGACCTTATCTATACCTTCGGAGGTGCTAGTCACGATGCGGATTTGAGGCATGGGCAACGCTTGTCCCAACAAATCCTACAAACAATAAAGCCAGCCAGAAGAACACTAGTGACACGAGAGGCAGCCCTGCCACTGAGACCCCGACAGAACTTTTTTGATTTTTTTCGGTCGTGTTTCATCGTTGAAAATGGGAGTCTTCACGTCCGCCGACGTCTGCATGAAGTCTCTTCAAAGCTATGTTGTTCTGCCTCGTATTCATGACAGCCGAGGGCAACATCAGTAAACAAGAGGCTGGCAGTGGGCGCCCCGTCTACTTCTGTAATTTTTTGTACGTAGCACAAGGAGCCCACGTTGAATGTGGCACTTTTTTACTCCCCACTGACTCGCAAGACTCAAGAAAATCGGGGCAGTGATTGAGAGTCGCTGCTTCACAGGCGTAGACATCAAGTGGCGCCCGCCAGCACATTTTGTAAATTCTAGTAGTACCGAGGTTCCCCCCCAGCCTCTCCCCATACGTCGTGAAATGGAGAGGAATCTTCAGCAGAGTATGCAATAGCTGTTTAAATATTTATGAGGTGCAGCACCTCCGCACTCTGCAGACATGGCACTACACGGCGCTGCAGCTGCTACTGCGCCTGCCACCACGTACCATATGTACCCTCCGTTCTTGGTAACTGCTGGCATCTGTTGACTGTACTGTCGCGGATTGAGGCCTTAAGGGCGCTTGTCGTCCTGGTGGGTTGCTCGCGCGACTCCTCTGCTTGGAGGGTAGCAAAGACATAAGTAGCAAGTAGCATCGCTACCTAGCCTTTGCAGCCTGTGACACCTGTGCGAAGAAATAAAGAGCTTGTTGTACAGATCGGGAAGTCCTGTTCTGGCTTCGTGCTCCCACTTGTAGCGCAGGCGCTGTTATGCTGCAAGCCGCTTACAGACTCCGCACGGCAAAACGACAAAGTGCGTCTGCAGAGCCGATACAGCGAATATCGGTTGAAATGCAGGCGTTCTTCACTGTAGGGCACAGCAGAGTGTTGTTCATGATGTCAATGGCTGGTGGGTACGGCATGAATGGAGCACCTTGCCGCACCTTGCCTGACAATTTTCAGCACATCGGCTCAGGTCTGCTAGGATGCAACAGCATGCTGAACAGGATCGCAAAGATGGCCCCCAAGATGGCAAGTTATGCTTGCGGTTCGTGACAACGAACCGCGGCAAGTTGGACTTCTTGCGCATAGTACTTGAATCCACGCTAGATGGCGTCTTGGATTCCATCGCTCCCCGACGGCATTTCTCATCGCTTCGCTTTAAATTCTCATTCTGCGTCATGCCCCTCTCTCTTTCCAAATAAGTTTGCAATACGTAGTACGGCTGAAGGAGATGTGCGACGTGGAGTTGCCAGAGATGCAAGCAGACTCTGTCGCCAAGATTTGCACAGCAAAAGCGGAGGCAGCTTTCCAACTGCTCGGTGGCAATGTGGTTGTGCAGGACAGTTGCGGGACATGGCAGGACTGTCGAGTTGTGGCAAGGGGCTCAAGTGATGCCGTTGCAGGACAGTGGCTTTGTCATTGAAGCGTTGAATGGCTTCCCAGGGCCCTACACAAAGTATGTGCTGTCAACTATTGGCGTGGATGGTATATTGAAACTCATGGAGGGTCAACCAAATCGTCGATGTGGCTTTGCTGCTTGTGTTGGTTTTGCAGACTCAGACGGTCGCATCCACATTTTCGAAGAACCGGTGCAATACTTCGGCAACTTGCGAGAGTCCAGGGCTTCGACGCGGGAGGGCTCTGAAATTGGCAGAGCTTGGGGGAATGCTCCTTGGCACACTCCCTCAGGCTTTGCGGCTTAGCATGTTTGTGCCCGCACTGTAGCTTAGCCTAGTGAAATGCAGAGACCGTGGCTTTCCCAGAGCCTGCTGATGAGCCTGCTGATGAGGAGTCAGGCCAGCTGTTCGAAGTTTTTGCGCCAGATGATGCGGCGGTGGCGGAAGCTGATGGTCTAGGTCCGACAGGTCCGACAGGTCCGACACTGGCAGAGATGTCCGAGAAGCAGCTGACCACTTATCGGCAACAGCGTCATTCGGCCTTCAAGGCTCACCAGAAGTACTAATTGTGCGTACTCGTGCTTCCGGCTTAGTTTTTCGTATGGCTTCAGAGGGAAAAAGGTGTTCGTCGTGGGGTGGATGATAGCGCCACATTCTGGCCGACATTTTGTGAGTTCGGAAGGTGTTTGGAAATTGGCTGCTGGAAGTATATGGCCACAAATCGGCGGCGACACTTGAACAAGATTAATGAGGATTTATGTCAAAATGACGTGAAGGTTGCTTTGCTCGTGGCCTAATTTGTGAGGAATGGCGCCAAAGTACGTTGCCAAAATGTTGTCTTTAGCACGCCAGTTTTCCTGGGTCGAGACACATGTCGACATGTGCTGTGAACAAGCACAGCCGCGCCCAGTCGGATTTGCTGTGCTCATGGTTTAAAAGCATGTGTTCGACTGCATGTTCAAGCTTCCGATTCTGAAGGGGTTCAGGGGTTAGGCTTGTGTGCTTGCACCTCACGCTGAGGGCTAGGTTCCTGGTTAGGTTTGTTTCAGTGGGGCCATAATGATCTTCGGGAAGAAGTGCGAGGAGGAGATTTCTAGAATGTAGATCCTGGACTTAAATCCCCATAAGTAGGGTTGGGAAGATCATTCGGACATCAGGCTCTGTTTAGGTTTTCTGCGGCGGGAGGGTCTGGTCTTCCATCGTAGTAGATCAGTAGATGTCAGGATGTGAAGCACTCTCGCTTCTGGGACTGTCCGGAACTTGTTGGGTGGGTCTATAGAGTCCATGCAAGGGCGAGTCTCCGGGCTTTGGCACCCTTTGCTTGCACAACTTGTGCGTACTCGGGATTGCCAACTTCTTTGCAGCTTGCCCGTCTCTTTGTATCAAGAAGCTTCCCGGGCAAAGATGTTGCAAGCATCTCGCATGCGAAAGCGTAAGAGATAGAGATGTAGATCCGCAGAATGAATAATGCGTATGTAGATGACACAGAGAGACCACCCAAAAGGTTAACACTTCTTTCGACAGGAAACTGTCGTGGCAGCCTTCCAGTTATGCAGAAGCTCTCTGCATCAGATGCTGCTTCGCCAACACAGGTTCAGTCTCGCCTGTTGAAGGGCCCATCGTTTGCAGATGTGGTGATCCAGGACGCGATTTTTTGTGCACATCTCAACATGTGCCCCTGACCAAGCCGACCAAGCCGACTATGTAGAAGTGAGGAAGTGGCACGGTTGGCACGCGAAGTTCAAGCTATTCAGCGTGATCGGGATGCAGCTCGAATTCGCATGCCAGAAACCTGTTGCCTGTTTTTTGGGAATGGGTTTTGTTATGCTCCTTGCGCATGGAGGGCGCTTTGCGGCTCAGGCACTCCTGCGTCAGATGGAGGACTTCAAAGCTGCTTTTGCTGATGACAACTGTCCTGAGATGCTTGTGAATGTTGCGAGCCTGCTACTGCTGCAGGCCTTGCGTGCTGAAGTGCGTGAGATGAAGTTGGCCCGAAGTGGCCCACCAGTCCGAGTAGCCTTGCATCGAATGTCGGAAAGTCAAGGTTTCGCGGAAAGATGCGACTAGCATGTTCTGCTTCAGGGTGATGGAAAGCTGCGGCAAGGGCACGTCGAGCATGTTCCGCTTCTTCAGGCGAGTCGAAGAGTACACCTATATAGGGTCTTGTTTTCGGGGGGGGGGGGGGCGAAGACGAAACTGCGAAGAAGCTGTTTGCAAGGACCTGAATCTCAAATTGCGAGCCAAGAAGAAAATTGAAGGCGAAAATCGGCCCACAAACTCCGGACGAAGACGACATTCGGTGGCGCGAAACATTGAAGACGAACTTGGGCCCCGAAGACGCGAAACTCGACCACGAAGACATTTGCGCCTGTCCAGGCTTAGATTGTTCTTACAACAGAAGGAAATTGGGCCCCGAAGCCGAAATTCAGCCCCAAGATGAAACTCGGCCCCGAAGGCGAAAAGTCGCCCCCCAAAAACACGAGACGAAATGTGGTGCGACAAAGGCCACCACAGGAACGTCGGCCCAAGCGCTGCTAGTGCGCATGTTCCGGGCGGTCTCTGGAGCGTTTCGGGTCGGCATTTCTGTCCCGCCCTCAACAAAATCAACAAATCCCGGCATAGAGTGGGAGGCCGCGAACCCCCCCCACCCCCCCAAACCGGCTTCTTTCTACCAGTGCAGGCTTGCTTTGTAAGCAACATCAATCAGCCCATGGAGAAGGCCTTCGTTTTGAATCATGCGATCCTTTCCAAACCCTTCGTGCTAGCATTGTGTTAGCAAATGGGGGGGGGGATGGGGGGGGGCCTGCACTCCCCCTAAGCCTACGCTTTTGTTTAGCTCTAGCCCGCGCAAGTTTGCTGATCATGCCACGACGAGGACGTGCATTAAACATGTATGAGCAGATGAGGTGGTCGGGCGAGATGGCATCTCATTGGAACGTATCGTTGAGCAGGCGGTGCCGTACACCATCGTTGAGACGCAGGGCTGAAGGCATCGCTAAGAAGAGTTCTCCAGAGCGCCATGCCGCCATGCTGAGGATACCGGAGGGCATTCACAGCTTTGAGCTCCTGGAGTGGCTTGGTGATGTGAGTGAAGAAAGACTGGGATGCTGAGCCTTGCCTTGTGCTCTTCTTTTCTGATGCTGGGCACCTTCTTGACCCAAATATGCCATGCAGGTTGAAGAAGCCTGTCCTTATTCGCCGTAGCATGGCCGCCCGCAAATCTGACACAGTGCTCATGGGACGCTGGCCTGTCAACATCTGCATGAATACAGCTTGGTTGGAGTTCAGGAAGCCCTTCATGCTGTTGTGTGCCTCCTGGCCCCGGACAGCCAAGGAAGCATAGTGATAGCATCTCGCGGAGTGAAGATTGAATCAGTATGCTTCCGTTGTGACCGGGAGTCCCACTACACACAGATGATAACCGTGGGCACGTCGGATTGCGTCCTGGCTGTATTTCATGTGCGTTGAGAACAGCGAAGGAATGTCAATATGAGCTCTTGTGGCACTTTCTTCACGTCCACTCGCTCGGCCCAGGTTTCATTGATGCTACTGAGGCCGAGCTTGTTGATTGCGACAGCAATATGAGTCTTGTGGTAAAAAGTGGAGCGCCGGTGATTCGGCACTGCAGCTTCCAAGTTCACGGCAACTCATCTGCAAAGCAAGTGGGTCACACGACGTCATGAGACCATTGCGGCTTACTGAGATGCCAGTGTGTGTGTTTCGTCCGTTGAGGTGAACTGAATGATCAAGGGCTGCGGGCGAGCCTGAACAGCTGCATCTGGCTGGGAAGGGACACCGCCGCCACTGTCGAGACGCTTGGGGCGAAACAGAAAGAAGAAAGACAAACATAAGGCAAACCAACTCCCCCCCCCTCCCCCCCCCACGCCATGCAGCCAACACAAACGCAGAACCATGAGATGGACGAAACAGCGCACCAAATGCCGTTCTTGGAAGCCCAGCTTGACCACCCCTGACGCCATACAATACTTGGAGATCGTAGCAGTACTTCGCAGACTCGGCATCTCAAGGGGGCAACCAGTCAACGACTGGCAAGGCTGAAGGGATGCGGAAGCAGCAGCAGACACATGGAGTCAACTGGTCGCACCCGAGCCCCTGCCGAACACCCTTTCCCACAACGAACACAATGTCAGTGCCTTGATGCCTTGAGCACTTGCCGAACAAATCGTGCGTTGAGAGAGCTCGACGAATGGATGGGCCACAAGGGGGAGGAGATGGAGAAGCGCATTCTGAACAGAACAGCTGGAGCAGAGCACAGGCGTAGGATGGCAGTACGTGCCAGCAGCGACTGTGACAGGCCATGACAGGTTTGTGGGGAGGGTGTGGCTGGAGGAACCCCCCCCCAAGTTCCAAGAATAGCAGGTCCCTTCCCTAAAGCCGCAAGCAAGAAAGAGAAAGCACAGAAGAAGAGATAACATGGCGGTGGCACCGAGCTTTGTTGACGAGCAGCTGAGTTCCTGTTTCATCGATGGGCGAGCTCACCGGGCTCATGCCTTCTCGATCGATGACAATGCGTGGGGCAAGTTGCGGCGGAATGTGGTTTGCGGATCAACCGAACATCCTGCATTTCACAGAGGATCTTTTGGCAACTGTGACTTGGACAACAGCAATGACTCTTGGACTTTGGCACGGAAGCGCTGTGTGAGGGAAGCCGTGAAGCGAAGTTTGTCAACCTTGCGCTGAGTTCACAAGGGTCGGGCTGTGTCGGACTAGTAACTAGTGTTCATCGGCCAGCATCGGGAGCTTACCGGGTCTGGCGGCCAGAGTCGTAGACGTAATGAAACGTTCGAGATGGTTCGAACCTCATATCTTCATTGGTTCAGGGATTTTTGAACTGATGTTTGCCTGCCATGTCTTCAGCAGCCAACGCTTCAAACCACTAACCGGCGCAAGTAGCCCAGGAGATCAACTGTCCAGTGTACCACGGAGTTCGGAAGCTTCGATCGTTGGAGCAAAGTCACCCAACATCACCTACAGCTCCGATGAGGCTGCATGGCTGCATGCGCCATTTCGTGTCATCGCTGGCTTCTTTGGATCACTTGTGCTGCTTGTGCACGTGACTCTGCGTGTTCGGGAGAGGGGCGTGTCCTATGCATGCGGAGGTGTTTACTTAAACGCATAGGCAAGCTGGTCTTCGACTTTTTTTCCTTGTCATCTCAACGTTTTCCAATCTGTCCACCCTCCCAGTCGGCGTGTTCCCGAGAGACTCCCTTCCAGACCCGAGCAAGTGGAGCCAAGTGGTCCAACGAAAAAAGCGAGTGCTTCGAAACAGGGCAGAACAAGCCTCCCTCTTCATGTTTTTTCCCGAAAGCTTCAGCGAAGGGTTCTTCGGAAAAAAAAAAACGTTCGCCCAAGCACACCAGCCTTACCATCAGCAGCACAGTACCGTCACCACACTAATCACTACGCTACCACCACACTACCACCACCACACTTCCATCAGCACACTACCACCACCACACTACCATCGCACTACTTGTACCACCACCACACTACCATCACCACAGTGCCATCTCGGCTGCATCGCTTCTGTACGCTGTCTATTAAATTCTCTCTTATTTGTTAAGCTGGGGTGGGTTTCGCCGCGGCTAGCGCGATGCAGCCCTCTGCGGGGATCGTGCGTGTCGGAGCGCTCCCGCTGTGCGTTTTTGCGTATTCTTAGTGGCCTGTCGCACCCTCTGCGGGATCGTGCGTGTCGGAGCGCTCCCGCTGTGCGTTTTCGCACATTTTACGTGCACCCTCTGCGGGGATCGTGCGTGTCGGAGCGCTCCCACTGTGCGTTTTTGCGTATTCTTGAGTGGCCTGTCGCACCCTCTGCAAGGATCGTGCGTGTTGGAGCGTGTCGGAGCACTGCCGCTGTGCCTGGAAAGTCGGCTTTTGTAGTACAAATGTAGTACGCCGGGGACGCCCGTGGCTGGAAACTCGACTTTTGTGGTACAAACGCAGTACGCCGCGGACGCCCGAAGCTTCATTCCGCGTGCACGAAAACCTCGCAAATAGCATGGAAGCGGAATTCCGCATGCACGAAAACCTCGCACATAGCATGGAAGCGGAATTCCGCGCGCGCGAAAACCTCGCAAATAGCATGGACGCGGAATTCCGCATGCTTGAAAACCTTGCAAATAGCATGGAAGCGGAATTCCGGCATGATCGAAAACCTCGCAAATAACATGGAAGCGGAATTCCGCCTGCGTTAAACCTCGCAAATAGCATGAATGGAAGCGGAATTCCGCGTGCTTGAAAACCTCGCAAATATCGTGGAAGCGGAATTCCGCATGCTTGAACACCTCGCCATCACCACGGTAATCACTATGCTACCACACTACCACCACCACACTACCACCACCAAACTACCACCGCCACACCACACTACCACCACCACACTACCACCGCCACACTACCACCACCACACTACCACCACCACACTACCATCACTATACCACCACCACACTACCATCGCTACACTACCACCACCACACTACCACCATCACACTACCACCACCACACTACCACCACCAAACTACCACCGCCACACCACACTACTACCACCACACTACCATGACTACACTACCACCACCACACTACCATCACTACAACTACCACCACCACCACACTACCATCACCACGGTAATCACTACGCTACCACCACCACACTACCATCACCACATTACCATCACCTCAGCCTCTCTCTACCCTATTAAATTCCATCTTCTTTCCGCTTCGCGCTCTCTCTGCCGTCGACACCGCATTGAGACTACACTACCGATCTACTTCCAGCCTACTACCACACCACGGCAACACGATCACCGCACTGACAACACAACCAACGATACGTGTCAGTTGAAATCTTCGCACGGACTGCTTTCGGGATAATCGGTGTCTAGTATATTTTTTTTTGTTGTGCGTGTGTGTGTGTTTCGTGCTTTGGGGTGTGGTCTTTGAAGTAAAGCAAAGCTGCAAAGACACTTGGGCCAGATTGTGCGCATAGTCAAGACGGATATCGAAGTTTTGCCGGCCAGGTATGATGCTCCCACTGAGTGGGGAAAGGAAGGCCGCTCGTCTTCAAGCTTTCGTAGATTTTTGCTGAGCCCTCATTGAGGTCTTGGGCAACTCAGAGGATCATTCCAGAAAATGCCACGACTTTCTGAATCTCCACATAGACAGTCTGGTGCCTTTACAAAACTATGGTCAATATCCCACAAGCCATTCTGATTCTGATCCCAGGATGCGCCATGCACCTCGGCCAATCACCTGACATGCGCTTAGCAGTCTCTGCCAACGCTGACCACCGCCTGGCACTGCACAGCGCCCAAGTCCCAGTCTCACAATCTCCGCCAAGCTCGTCTCGATGCCATGGCTCAGTACCTTGGCAAGTGCTGTAACAAAAGCTCACGACTTCCGGAGCCATGGCAGAAGCAGCTTGCAGTGATGCTGCTGTTGGTTGTTTCTGAGCACTGTTCATTCTTGTCATTCGGTCGACATCGACATCCGAGATGTCAAGTGGCAACGAACATAATCAATCGAGATCGGCAACAAATTGTCAACGGACCTGGCCAGCAGACAAGCACCGATGCACGCATGTGAAGCACTCACTATGGAGAGCAGGGGAGTAGCAGCGTGTGGTGCTCATGCCGCGACTTGCAGTGCCCATGGTCGGCTCTGCAACTTCGAGGGTTACGCACCTATGGACCTAGATGCTGACAATGGTCACTTTCTGCTTGCATGTTGGCCGGCAGACTATTATTCGCTGCTTCAAGATCTTCAAGCCGATTCAAGCCTCACGCTTGCTCATGTTTTACCTTGTAGCACCTGTGAGGCCAGGAGCTTGACCCGCATTGGATGCTGGTCTTGCTGGATGCTGGCCTTGTGGTCGTGGAAGCCTTAGAAATGCAGAATGATTATGTGCAGCAACGTGCAGCATGTTCTTCGGCACAGTCTTGTCCAGGTGGATGTGCTTTTCTTCTCCCACAGGCAGCCGTCGCGGTCAAGTAGGCCTTAGTGTTGTTGGGACTCCGGACTGCCAGATGCTGCAAGCATCAGAGCCGGCATGAGCCGGCCATAGACTGAAGTGATCTGCAGTGACTGCATCAGGTTTCCTTTGTGTTTCCTTTGTGCTGAACCAGATGCCCAGATGCTGTTTGCAGCAGGTGGAGCTGATTTTGCTGGGGTGTCTTGGCGGCGCAGCCCACGAAAGGCTCCAGATCTCTTGATGCAGAGGAGACTGTCCAGACCCAGGCGGCAGTTGAATGCGATTCACCTCGGCTCAAATTGAAACCACGTGTCGCCCTGGCAGTTAATGATCTTTCCAAGCACACAGCCATCTAAACAGCGAGTGTCTACTGCGATTCTTCATCCCCAAAAGCATACATCGTGCATGCTTGCTTCAGCCAAGCAGCTATGGCCAAACTCAACCGCGAGATCACGCTTGCTGCGAACGACGGCTCCGACACGTTGCAACATGTCATTTCCACTCGTTCACAGACTTTCAATGCAATCAATGTTGCCACTGCTCTCCATCGACTGTCCCGCTTTCATGCCTCTGACAATGTTACAAAAGGTCCCTTGGCGCACAGTGAAGCATTGCAAGCCCTGCTGTTGAGAACGGTGGATGTGCTTCAGCTGCCAGCCAGCGAGTGTGATGCGAAGGCTGTTTCTACAATTGCATATTCGTTAGCTGGGCTTGGCGTGCGAGATGCTGATGTTGCCAAAGCCGTGATTATTGCTTCCCTCAACAGGCTGCAGGACTTGGACCGTCAAGGTGTAGCGAACTTGACGTGGGCCTTGTCCAAGTTGCCCAGGGTGGACAAACGATCAAAGTTAGCAAAGAAGCTCGCCCTGCTGGCTCGCAACCTTGTCTGGGATTTCCTGCCTCAAGAACTTTGCAACATTCTGTGGGCATTGAGCAAGCTTGGGGTCCGGGACAACAAGCTTATGTCATTGGCAAGTGAGGCGGTGCGAGGCACACTTTCCTCTTACACACCGCAAGGGCTGTCCACATTGGCTGCAGCTTATGCCCGCGCAGGAGTTTTCGTGGAGGCACTGTTGGATGAGATTGGGGAACAGGCTCAGGCACGATTGACTGAGCTGAATGCTCGTGATGCTGCGCAACTTGTCCACGCCTCAGGGTTGGGACTGGGATCCGGCAAGAATTGTGAGCTGATGTGAGCCGCGTAAAATTATGTTTGGGCTGTCGCTGTTTCTTTTTTTTTGGGGAGCTTTCGCATGAGCGATGTATAGCGATGTGCAGCTCAGGTTTGGAGTCATGCAAAATTCAAGCTTTGTCGCGAGCCTTTGCTAGAGCAGCTGTGCAGTCATTCGGCTGCTTTGGTTGAAGGAGAAGGCGGGCTTGAGCAAGGTAAACAGATAGCGCAAGCAGCGGGCGAAGAAAGTGCAGGCCAACAAAACGCACGCAACTTGATGCCAGGGTGCCCTTCGAGACTTACATAGGCCAGTCATCCTCCGTGAGTCGACTTTAGTAGACTTTAGAATTTAGAATCTAAACGATAACATCTTGGAGAACAAAGTAGGGCAAAGTGCGCCGCAGATCCTTGAACGAGCCCTCTTCCAAAAGACCGACAAATGCACCCTGTTGTAAAATGCTTGAATAAACTCTTTTTCACATTAGCTAATCGCAAGGGCCGTGCTCAAAAGAGTTTCAATGGACACAGGGAAAGGCTCAAGGAGCCCATTGCCCAATGCATTTTCACAACACTGCGATTTTGCCGTGATAGGGGTGGCCTTCTCTCCTTTCTCATGAAATCAGAAAAAAAGCCACTCACCTTGTAGGCTTTAGCAGCTTGTGAGGGGAGGGGAGGGTCGACAAAACATATCTATCAACCAGAAGAAGCCTCTAGCGTCGTGAGTCACTTGCCATCAAGCTTCAAATTTGTCGATGTATATGCATGAAAGAGCCTCTGGCGTGCATTTTCTTCTCTGTCTTTTATTCTGTAAAGCAGTCCAGTGTAAACTCAAGCTAACTGATCTACAGCTAGCTAGTATATCGAAAGTGTGGAGGCGTGAGGGCTGCTTTTCGATTAGATTTCAAGACTTTCTTCGTGTTGAAAGTTGGCCATGCTTCTTGCTGCTTGAACTGGGATTTGGCACTTTCGGGCTTTATGCTGGTTTCGTCGGGCCCAAACGGGGGTTTCATTAGGGTTCGGCACTGTAGGGCTTCCGGCATCAGGGGTCTACAAAAGGCCCTAGGCGGTCCTTTGAGGTTTCCGAAGGGGCTACCAGAACATTGCCATAGACGACCCCATCGAGGGTCCAGACTGGGCATTGGAGGTGCCTGGGAGTCCGTAGGAGGTGGCGAACAGAAAGGCCGTAGTTGAGGGCTTCATGGGTGCCACAGGGCGAGTGCGGTTACAGTAGCCCATACTGGTATGGTGAGGTTGTCCATGGAATGTCATAAGATGCAAATTTAGAGGGGTGGTGCGGGGTCCATGGACGATCCACAGAAGTGTTCGTCTCCATGTTGTGGATAAGTGGTGGGCCCGAACCCCCGGCGGGCTTTGAAGCGGTCCAGAACCTAGGCTGTGGTGTTAGTATGAGAACGCTGTCAGTTACGCGCCAACAGCTGCACTTGGTGCAGCATGTCTGGTGGCAAGCAGATGTCAAACACCAGGTGTCTTGTAGGGTGCAGCCGCTAAGGCATCGCAAAGCTGCAAAGGTTGTTGAAAAGATGCCTGTTCATGACCAGCGCCGCATTAAAAAAGAGAAAGCCAAGTCCTGGCTCTCCGGCCCAAGAGATCCCAAGACCTTTCACAGAACCACTGCAGGCACTGAGATCATCGTCTCCTTCTTGTGGTCTTTCGGCACGCTTCGGTGGGCTCTTGGCCTCCCAAGCATGACTGTTGTTTTTCTACTCAAAAATTCAAAAAGCGTTCAATGTGTTTAGTCAAGCGGCCTTGTTTTTTTCACGTGCAGTGCTCTTTTCAGGTGCCAAAGAAGAAGTTCATGAAGTCACTAGTAACAAGGGCAACCGCACTGGTGCCATCACTTGGAGCCCACCGAAGCGTACGACTGCTGACTGCTGTGGCAAAGCTTGCGTTCAAGGAAAGCCTAGACCTTACGGTCCTGACGCAAAGTCTTGTTGGAAGCCTGCGGCTGCTTTATGTGCGCATGAGTGCGCAAGAAGTTGGAATCAGTGCATGGGCCCTTGCAACATTGAAGCCGCAAGGGTGGAAGAAAGTGCTGGGAAATCTAGTTTCCCGTGCGGCAGAAGCAGACGTGATATCTGATTTAAACTGGTGGTCTGTGGCACACATCGAATTTGCAATCAGGACTGCCTTGGACGAATCGCCCAACTGCAAGCCACTTGCAGCTGCTCCACAGTTGCTCCAATTGTTGACTCATCGATGTGAAGAGGAAGTCAATCAGATTCAACAGGTAAGCCGTTCATTTCAAGAAGGTCCACTGATTGCTGCCGCAAATTGCGAGCCGTGGCAGCACGCACCCAAGCATGCCGGCACACAAACTGCACTTGTGTTTGGCCCCGGCCGCCACGTTCGAGCTGCCTTGCGGAGAAGTGGCTTCCAAGTGATACAGTGGTATCGCTTTGCAGTGGGCGATAAAAAGGCTCAGCCCTGGCCTCCAGATGGAGTTTTCAGTGCAGCCGCAATGAAGTACCCTGACTCCTATGAAGCCTTTGAGTATGCCTTGCACGCTGTGGCTGCATCGTTGCCGCTCGCGGCTCCAGCCTGGGTTTACGGAGATGTGAAGGAAGGGGTTCTCAGCACGACCAGGGCCATCAAAGGATTATTTCGACTTTTGGAAATCAAAGAAGAGGGGGATTTGAGGATCCTCTCTTTGCAGCGAACGGGTGGGGAGGCTCGGGCTTGCCTGGACAAATGGTTCAAGCAAGAAAGGGTGACATTTCCGACAACTCCCAAAGCTCTTACGTGGTGGTCCATGCCCGGTCTTTTTGCTGGTGGCTTCCTTGACGTCATGTCGAGCTTTCTTTTAGCTACTTTGCATAAGGTTTCTAGCACAGACTGTGCAGAGAAACCGCTGTGGCTGCGCACGCAGCACTGCAAGGTGATTGATTTTGCCAGCGGGACAGGGGTGCTTGCAGCTGGAGTACAATCTATGCTGCGCTGTGACGGCGAGATGTGGTTAATAGACGCCGACTCTGTAGCACTCCAGGCTGCCAGCAAGAACCTCCCAAACGCCCACATTGTCTTGGCTGACGGATTCAAGGGAGTCCAGAGCGCAGATACGCCACCGGAGCAATGCCACTTGATTGTATCCAACCCACCAGTTCATCGTGGCCATGCTGACGACCTCCAAGTGCTGGTTGATCTTCTACAGCAAGCTCCGCACTGGTTGCTGGAAGACGGCGAGCTTTGGTTAGTGACGCAGGAGCATATTCCCACAGGGCGCCTCTTCGAGATAACCCAAGCCACAGAGAAGCAGTTCAATATTACTATGCACGCCACAGCGGATGGTCGATTTGTGGTGTGGCAAGTGCAGTACTCTAGCCGCACTTCCCGAAAGCGAAAGCATTGCGACGCGAGCGACACCTCACCGAAAAACTTGTTTAGCACAAGACGCATGCTGTTGCATGGCCACCTTGTCCACATCACTCGGTGCAAGGGTTTGCTCGTCTGATTTCTTGCGAGATCAGACCAGCGTGGGCTCGAGGGCCCGAGGCGCGTTAAGTACTGCCACATGCTTGCACGATCTCACATGTCATAGCCGCGCTAGTCCTGACTTCAATGACGTCAACCAGGGTGCCGCCGAATACGAGTTGTGGGTGGACTTCAGAGCACAGCGCAATGTCAAGCAGGGTGCTTTGTTTAAGGTGCTATGCGCAGTCCTCATGTGCGTGTGCGCTTCAAAGTCAACATAGTCAACTCTCCTGTACCTGGAACTCAGGCTAGGTGAGCTTGCCGCGACTTCACTGCTGCAGTCTCCAAAGGCACGCACGTGCTTAATTACTCGCCGGTCGTCGTTGCCTCTACTCAGGTCAAAGAGAACTTGCTCGACTTGGCCGACAGCCTCAGAGTTCACCTTTCTGTGATACGCAGCAATGCTCGACTCCAATGAAAACCCTGTGACTCTTGTGACTTTCGTGACTCTCACACCCTTACTTTCATGGCGAGGTGCACTCCTGCAAAGTAACAATGTTCGCGAAACAGCACGCTTCAAATCAGGCAAGAAGTTTGCAGCAAAAGTTCGATAGCATCGGCGTGGCGCTGCTAGCCTGGATGGCAAGAGTGAATGGCCGAGCCTGCCCTCAGTCACAGGCAGTCACTGTCTCAGGCTTCCGAAAGGGAAGCTGATAAGTGGACTTCCTGACATGTAATTAGATATTGAGCACAGTAGTCAGATGTAGTCAGGTAATGTGAGGATGTAAGCAACACTGGCAGGTGTTATCGTCGACAAGCAGTTTGTGAAAGAGGTTGGTGGTGTTCTGCAGCACCCACAGCACCTCCAGCAGATGTCCGTGCACATAAGATCCCTTCATGTGGGCAAGAGGCTCAAAAGGCCTCAAAGTTGAGTTCATTCAGCAGTGTGACATCTCAGCATGGCGCACACGTCCCAGGTGCTGCACAGGCAGGCATTTCAGCTGGCTGCGGATGCTGATCAAGTTGCTATGGAAGCCGACGAGATAGCAACATCAACTGGCCAATGCATTGAGAATTTGGAGGAACTTGCAGAGCATTTGAGGCGCTATGTGGATGAAGCCGCAGGTGCTCCCTTGCAGGAGTTGGACTTGGACAAACGGCAGTCAATGTTGGACTCGAACACCGGGCATCAATCTGCAAGAGCTGCAGCTGACAAAGCTGGCCGCTCCACAAATTCCCATAATTCCCCGAACGGCCCAACATGGGAGGCTTTCCATGCTGACCGACGTGCTGTTCTGATGGAGCGAATAGCCCTCGCTGAAGAGCGGTGCGCAGCAGCAGAAGACGAAGCAAAAGCAGTGCGGCTTGAGACCATGAACCGGCTCGCAGAGATGCATCGATGGAGTCATGGGAGATTTCGTGAGGGTGCATTGGGTGCAGCCAGCGCAGCCAGCGCAGCCAGCGCGGCGAACTGGCGGTCGGAGTTCGAAGCCTTCGTTTGCAAGCAGCGGGCACATGCCGACCAGTTAGCTTCTAGTATGGAAGCGCAGAATGAGACGACCGCCAAGTTAGCAGAATCCTTAGCCTCGGCTACCTCTGCAGTCGAAGCGAGCACGCCAGATGCCCGCAAGTACATGCAGACCCTTCTGAGCCTGACACGAGCGCTGGCTGACTCCGAGTGCCGTCGAAGGGGCTTGTTAGTGTCACATTGCCCTTAAGCCTTAAGACCCTTAAGACAATCTTCACGTCTGTTCGCCAAAGTGCGTTTTCGGCTGAACAAGATAATGGGCTCGTGCCACAGTCGGCCTGAGTGCTGCACGGCTCAACTCGCTTAAAGCATCATGGGCTTACCTATACATACGCTGGGATGCAGGCCGTTGACGCCGTGCGGGAGATGCAGGTGCCAGTGTACACTGCCAGTTCCTGCCTTGGGCATGTTACGGCACGTTGCACTCTTTGCTTGTCATTGTATCCCGGCTTCCAAGGCAAAGAGGTGGAGGGAGCAACATCCTCAGAGTGAGATCAACGTGTGGAGGCCTTTGCATCCCTCCCAAAACCCTTTGTCCCCGAACCAAGAGATCCGTGACAAACAAGCAGCAGAAAAGGAACACAGCATAACACGGCCATCCCGCCGCGACTAGTCACCGAAATTTGCAGAACAAATGAGGCAAGCATACACCCCTGCCCCCAGGCAACACAACTGAGAGGAATTTGCACGGGCAATCCTGCTACAGACTGCCCGGTAAACGATACAAGCCTAGCTTCACTATTAGAGTTCCAGCATGTCGTGCTAGATGATGAAACCTCTACGGCGGCCAAGACGAAACACTGCACAGCGAAGACTTGCACCATACAACAATCAATTCACTTGGTTTGTCTGCAGGTACGAATCAGGCATCCGTGATCTTTCCCCCCTGCTCAAATTGATATCTTTGTGGCAGAGTTGGACACAGACACACAGACACAGACACAGACACAGACACAGACACAGACACAGACACAGACACAGACACACACACACACACACAGACGCACACACAGACGCACACACAGACGCACACACACACACAGACACACACAGACACAGAGACACACACACACACACACACAGAGACACAGACACACACACACACACACAGACACACACACACACACACAGACACACAGAGACCAGATACACACAGAGACACACAGAGACACACAGAGACACACAGAGACACACAGAGACACACAGAGACACACAGAGACACACAGAGACAGAGACACAGAGAGCACAGAGACACAGAGACACACAGAGACACACAGAGACACACAGAGACACACAGAGACACACAGAGACACACAGAGACACACAGAGACACCACACAGAGACACACAGAGACACACAGAGACACACAGAGACACACAGAGACACACAGAGACACACAGAGACACACAGAGACACACAGAGACACACAGAGACACACAGAGACACACAGCGACACACAGAGACACACAGAGACACACAGAGACACACAGAGACACACAGAGACACACAGAGACACACGGAGACACACAGAGACACACAGAGGCACACAGAGGCACACAGAGAGAAAGAGGACACACACACACACACACAGACACACACAGACGCGCACACACACAGACAGACACAGGACACACACACAGGAAACACACAGACCACACAAACACAGACACACACAGACACACACACAGACACACACAGACACACACGGACACACACACACAGACACACACGGACACACACACACAGACACACACACAGACACACACAGACACACACAGACACACACAGACACACACAGACACACACAGACACACACAGACACACACAGACGACACAGACACACAGACACAGACACACGACACACGACACAGACACAGACACACACACGACACAGACACAGACACAGACACAGACACAGACACAGACACAGACACAGACACAGACACACAGACACAGACACACAGACACAGACACAGACACAGAGACACAGAGACACAGAGACACAGAGACACAGAGACACAGAGACACAGAGACACAGACACACAGACACACAGAGACACAGACACAGACACAGACACAGACACAGACACAGACACAGACACAGACACAGACAGGGAGAGACTGTGCATGAAGGTTGGCCGGGTGCCCCCTATCGCCTTACCTTGAGAACCCAAAACCCACTTCTTCGTAGGTTATTACTCTAAAACCCCGTCTAGGATCCTTAGGTACCCCTAAACCCCAAACCCCAAACGCCAAACCCTAAACCCTAAACCCTAAACCCTAAACCCTAAACCCTAAACCCTAAACCCTAAACCCTAAACCCTAAACCCTAAACCCTAAACCCTAAACCCTACAAAAAATATGAGTTCTTAAGGCATAGCGTGCTCGGCCAAGTCTGCAGACCTTCGGTCCGCCGTGCCAGGTGCTCTGAGAGCACCGTGGGGGGTTTTACGACCATATGGGGACCCCGAATAGAGACCCCCAAATAGTCGGATTCCCCCTATAAGAAGGACCCCCAATAAGGTACCCCCAAAACCCTAAACCCTAAACCCTAACTAAACCTTCAAGCCCCCGGTAACTTGAAATTATCCGAAAAAAGAAACTCCTGGAGACTTTCCTCGAAACTTTCCCTGGACCTGAACCCTTAATAATTTCAATAAACCCTAAACCCTTTGCACCCCCTAAGCCCTAAACCCTAAACCCTAAACCCCAAACCCTAAAACCCCTAGAGTGCTTGCGCGCAGGAGATGGATCCGCCCTCTTCTACCAGCGGCGCAACAGAGCCCAGGCTGGGCCTTGCCTTGTTTAGGGTCTAGGGCTTCGGGCGTTTAGGGTTTAGGGTTTAGGGTTTAGGGTTTAGGGTTTAGGGTTTAGGGTTTAGGGTTTAGGGTTTAGGGTTTAGGGTTTAGGTTTTTAGGGTTTAGGGTTTAGGGTTTAGGCTAAGGGTTTGGGGCAGTTAGGGTTTAGGGTTTAGGTTGAGGGTTTGGGGCATTTAGGGTTTAGGGTTTAGGGTTTAGGGTTTGGGGCGTTTGGGGTTTTAGGGTCTAGGGCTTCGTGCACATGTTCTCGATCCCTGCCCAAGGGCAGCTTGCTCAGAGGGCCATCAAGGACGACGAGGCCGGTGGCGATATGAAGTATAAGGTTTATATTTCTTGTACCCCCCAAAAGGACACCAAATGTATACACTCACCAAAATTATAAAGGCAACCTTATATATATATATATATACACTCACCAAAAACAGTAACATAAACCCTGCTTCATATGGACACCAGAGCAGGGAGTTGAGTCAAAAAGATGCCAGCAGTGGTATCATGGGTTTCCCGCTACCCCCCTCCAATATCTTAAATTTGGGGAACCTAGGGGGGGGGGGTTGAAAAGAGGGGGCTAGCAGGGGAACCCATGATAGTATCACCTGAGAGTCCTGTATAAGTGTACCATTCTAATTCCGTAGGCCCAAAGTGCAAAAGTGCAACCAGGCCTGAGCCTTTCTTGCGCCACTTGCCCTGTCAGCGGCCATGTTGGAGTCAACGAGGCGATATCAAAGTTCAGAAGCAACATGCGGGAAGACTTGGCAGGATGAGAGTAATGTTGATAACCATACATGTGAGAATAGCACTGATCAAAATACTCATCTTGATAGTCCTGATACTCATAATGATGATGATATGGTCATAGTCAATCCAGCTGCAGCCTAGGATTAGAAAAAAGAACCTCCCAAATAAGCCATGGGAAGCAGCCCCGCCACACAGCCAGCGCGCGACAGCAGCATCGAAGGCTTTGGCGTGGCCTACGTGGGACATGTGTTCGTGGAAAACGGCGTGGAGTTCCAGTTCAAGGTACAGCCTCCTTCCAACACGGGCGCTCCAGGACAGGTTGTGAGGCGCAGCTATCAAGATCTGGGCTCCCTATCTGCAGCGATGTCCTCGCGCTACCACCAAGCGCCCTCCTGTCCACGCGCGCCCTTCTTCGCCTTGGACAGTGCCGTGGGAGACCAGGGTCGCGCAATCGAGACCTACCTCCGCTCCCTCCTGATCCTGGAGCCATGGCCGCGGACCAATGCACTCCGACGCTTCCTGTCCGTTGCGATGCCTCCCGGACCCGCCCAAGCCGGGAGCGTAGGCCCGGCCCTGCTGCATGGGGCCATCCGCGTCCCCGTCAGCTGCATCGCGATCGCGCTGAGCTTCTCGGAGCCCTTGGCCGTGATACGCTGCTGCGCCAAGGTGTGCAAGTCCTTCCAGGCAGCATCCCTGGACCCCCGGTGTTGGCCAAGGCTGCAATTCCGAACCTACTGTGCTGAGAAGTCCATTGACAGCCTCTGCACGCTACTGTTGCGTGCATGTGGTGGGCTGGAAGCCTTAACCCTGGACCTCACTTTCCAACAGGAGAACTTAAGAAGCCCAATAGCCGCAATAACCCTAAGAAACCCTAAACCCTGATAGCCCTCAGCCCTAAACCCCATACCCTAAACCCTAAGAACCCTAAGAGCCCTAAGAACCCTAATCGCCCTAAGAACTCTAAGAACCCTAAGAGCCCTAAGAACCCTAAACCCTAAACCCTAAACCCTAAACCCTAAACCCTAAGAGCCCTCCACAGGAGAACTTGGGGGTTGCCCTGCCTGCGGGGCTACTTCTGCCACGTCTTCGCCGCCTCGACCTGAGGCTTGGCGACTCGGAGTCTGCGTCGTTTCTTCGGAATTTCTTTGGGCATATTTTTGATTTTTTTGGGTACTATAACTCCTATAAGAATTTGGGATAATTTGGGGGTACTATAACTCCTAAGAATTTGGGATGTTGGGGTACCATAACTCCTAAGAAACAGCTCAAAAGTATCATTTTTGCTAGGGCTCCAAGTTCAGTGCAGGTTTGCCTGCGAGTTGCTGGGCTGCGTCGAATCCCCGGTCCTTCGCCAGGCCTCCCTGTCGGCGGTCTTCACACCGTCATTGTTGCAGCTTCGGGATTTTTCTGAATAATTTTTCATTTTGGGGTACTGTAATTCCTAAGAGTTGAGTCAGCAAAAAAACTATGATTTTTGCTAGGGTGTCCAAGTTCAGTATAGGCAGGCGCTCTGCATGACGGCCATTGCCGCCGAGGGGAAGCTGACGGAGCTGTCGCTTGTGAGCTCACCTTGCAGCCGACGGCCGCACGGCGCCGAGCTAGATGCGAGCACCGTGCTCGGAATCCAGGACCTAGTAGCTATATCCCCCTTGGGAGTTTTTTTTTTAAATATTTTTCTTTATCTAAAGCCCAAGAGGATATTAAAAACATTGTTTTTATATAGGTTGTAAGGGGAGTACAGGTCGAAGCTGTGCCCTTTGTGCAAGACCTGGCCATTTCCATCGACGAGTCCCGTCGTGGCTGCAGCCGGTTCATGGAAGGCTTCCTCCCGCCTTTGGTGGAGATTCCGGGTCAGCAGCCGCTGCTTGCAAACCTGATGGCGCTCCAATCGCTGCAGAGCCTGCACTTCGACTTCCTGTCGGACGACGTGATCGCATCTTTGTCCACGGACGAACGCGTCTTCCGCGTCCGCTCAGCGCGCTTCTCGGGATGCAAGCGGTGCTTAGACGACCCGGACCAGGCCCTGGTGAGCCTCTTGGGGAAGATGGGCCCGGAGCTGCGGGAGTTTGCGTTTCGGGTCGACCTGGAGTTCGGGATGCGCGCCTTCACCCGAGGTCTCAGGGGTACTTGCAAAGAATTCTTAACTTCTGGGGCACTTCAATTCCTAAGAAAGTAGCTCAAATTATCGAGGTCTCCTACATCAGCGCCTCGCTGGTCTTCCAGCCGTCTGGTCTGGCCGTGAGGAGCTCCGAAGCCTAGAGCTGAATTGGAATCTTGGTAGCCCAGTGGTGCCCTTTACCCTTTTTTTTGGCTCAAGGTTTTTTTTTTATGTATAAAGTAGTAACCAACCCCAAAAAAGGGTACCCTAATTACAATATAGCTACTTATAAAGTAACCAACCCCCAAACAAGGGTACCCTATTATTATAATTCTAATATGGTTACTGGGCTACTGAGGAATGCTTTCGATGATGAGGGCATCGCCTCGATTGTGGAGGGCTGCCCCCAGCTCGAAGTGCTGCTACTCGACCGGGCGGAATACTGGTCGGATCTTGCTGTGATGCATTTGGTGGAGGGATTGCCTTCCCTTCACAGGCTTCGAGTTCGGTCTTCCGTGCTGCTGTCCGACCGGGCGCTGGAGGTGCTGCAGCAGTCGACACAGCAGTTCAGGCTCCTTGAGATTCTCGGTAGGCCTTTGGGACACGTTCTAGCTTCCCTTCTTCGCGGTTAAGAGGATCATCTATTCAGAAAATAGTTTGTTCTTAGGGTTTTCAGGGCCATGCTAGGATTGAGCCTTCCGCCACCATGTCCAGCTACATGCTCGACCTGCTGCGGGAGAAGCTGTCTCAGGGAGCTCCCGGAAGTTTCCCCGAGATCTTCCCCAGCTCCCTCACGGCGATGCTGCTTTTAGGGGATTTTCGCCCGGAGGTGGCTGCAGGCGCTGGGTCCCAGGGTCAGCCCACGGAGCTTAGGATCCTCAGACCGGAGCATGAAGAGGAGGAGGACTCCTCCAACCTCTCCGCCTACGCTGGCGCCTCGCGGTCCTGGTTTGGCAGAAGAGATGCCAAGTTGTACATAGGGCGAGACTAGGACTGTAGGCCTCATGTCCCAGGAGCGGCTTTTCCAAGCCGCCCCTGATTCGTTCTGGCTTAGGTTCGCGCCGCCCTCAGAAGCAGGGCTGCAGGCTCTACATCCTCCGAGTTTCCAGGTTCATGAGGATTCATTCTAGATGAGTTGGGCCAAGTTTCGCTGGCGGATGCGCGCGCGAGTGAGAGGGAAATCATTGCCGACTTGGTGCAAAACCCTGCTCTCTACCAGGATGGGCTATTAGGCCCTATAATCCCCAGAATCAACCCTGCACAGGGCCTTTTTAAAGGGGTTATAGGGCTGAAGAGGCCCGGTCCCTATCAAAAAAGACGTCATGCCCCAACGCGTAGTTGCAGGACAGGTCCTCGGAGTGAGCAACCATGCATCTTGAGCCCACGCCCTTGTCTTTCCTAAGGATGCGTGACTGCTTATTAGGGTTCTTAGGGCTCTTGGGGTTCTTAGGGTTGTTAGGGTTCTTAGGGTTCTAAGGGTTCTTATGGGGCGGTTAGGGTTGTTAGGGTTCTTAGATTTGTTGTGGTTTTCAGGGTTCTTGGGGTTATCAGGGTTCTTAGGGTGATGATAGGGGTTCTTAGGGTTATTCTGGCTGGCACATTCGAATAGTTCAGGTCTGCAATCGCCCTCAAAGACACTCTCAGGGCTGTACGGCCTCCATAACCTCAACGTGCCTCAGCCTCCATGTCCACTCAACCGTAGCACCTCTTCCGACCGAAGCAAATATAGTAGCTGCACTGGTCCCTGGATGTGCGTCGTTTCATCCCAGTTGAGTCATCTGAACAAAGAGGTCCTTGCTGTAGTGTTGATGTAGGTTTTGCAATATGCAAGATCAGCGTTCATGCATGTTCCTGTCATCACGTCTCAGCTACTTGGGACGGAAACTGCTCTGAGTTCATTACTTGGAGGTTCACGGTACGTATAACCCCAGTTATAACTGTACTTATAAGCCCCTTAAGTCCCTTAAGTAGGTTATAAGTAGTGCGGCTCCTCACTAAGCCGCAGTGGTGCAGGCTGCGAAGCGAACGCCCCCGCCCCCGCCGAAGCCGAAGCGCAAGTTCCGGCC